ACCGTGTTGCCCAGCAGTGGTTGCAAGGGCTTTCGGGTTTGTGTTTACTCTTAAAGGGGAGGGTGGCTCGCTCTTGCCCCCCACCGCCGCCCAGCTCAGGATGAAGGTGCGGTCCTGAGGTAAACTTCTGTGAGACCTCGTGCACGGGGAACCGCGACACCCTGACAGTTCTTTCTGGTTATTTTTAAGGTTCCAGCCATCCTTGTTCGGGTGGAATTTCCAGGAACTGGCTGCAGCCAGTCAGGTCCCTCCCAGCCTTCCCACTCCCTGCAGGGTGGGGCCCCATGGGTGGAGGCCCAGCAGGGTGGAGTGAGGTGGGTCTCCTGCGGTAGGGAGGGCACCTCGTGAGCCAGGCAGATGAGAGGCCATGTGGCCTCACCAAGCCCTTCCGGATTTGATTATATAACACCTCCGAGGTCTCCTGGTGAAGGCTTAGGCGAGGCCTTTGGAGCTGTGTACACAGCAGGATTAAGAAATTGTGGGTAGTTTTCAATTCATCTTGGGTTGCTTGCCCTTAAAACTGAAACACAGGATTGTGAAGCGAGCCTAAGGACGAAAACAAATATGTAACCCAAGCACTAACCAGGTGCCCTTGAATGTGAGAGTTGGCCCGAAGGGTTAGTGTGTGTTTATGCAGGTCTCCACAGCCCTGCCCCTGCTGTCAGGGCCTAGCTCGGAGTCTTGGAGGGCCTCTTCTCCCTAGTTACCTTTCCACCTGTCCTTATTTACATGCGAAATCAATTGCTTCACTTGGTCTTTCCGAAGTACAGGGTGTGGGCAGAATCTTATCTGAAGCCATGTCCTGTTTGGACAAGTTGGACTCGCCCTGGCAACCCTCCATGGGGTGGAGCCGATGGGTGGAGGCAGAAAAGTAAAATTGGGTGGCTTGTTCACAGAGCGGAGAGGGCGGACTGTTTGCTTATTGGATCATTCTATCCCATCTGAATTAACTTCTCTCCCTTTTTACAAAACACATTATAATGCAAAGATAATTTATGAGAGGCAAAGACTTGGAAATACCCCGCTGAATTCTTTTCAGATCAACAGTGCAAGAGTGAGGTGGGTGAAAATCCCTGGGCGGTGTGAAAACTGGACACCCTTCCAGGTAGGTGCGGCCAGCTGTGCTGGGCTCCGAAGCCTGAGGCTTAGGGCACCTGCCCCTCGTGCTTCTGGTCGGGCTGCTGGGTAGCACTCCTCATGGTACCCACTGGGAGCACGCAGAGTTGGCTACAGAAGTGTGAAGAAAGCTTTCTCTGAGAAAGGAAGTTCAGCTACAGGCACAGTGCTTGCCCTCCTGGCCCTGATACACAGCGCAGGTTTTTACGAGAGTAAGGGTGGGGCCAGTAACATCCTTACTTCTCTTCTGAACATTCAGACGCTCAGGAGAATGGGCACTTGCCAATTAGTGCCTGGTTGTCTAATGGTTCTGTTCTCTGCACACTGGCCTTTGCGGGAAGCCGGTAGTTGGGACAAGCCTAGGGGTCGGGCTGGGAGAAGAGATTGTCAGGCAGGTCTTGCTTTGTGTCATTTCTAGAAGTAAGTTTCTAAAATAATACTACAGTTTTGCGAGTTGATAGAAATTTGACCCTTGATTTGATAATCTGCAGCCAGAAGCAGAAGGGGAGGGGCCTCAGTTCCTGTAGGACCATCGCTTTTAAGTGAAAATTTGGCTTTGTAGGACCTTCCCACAAAATGACTGAGTTGTTTCAATTTGGGAAAATTATTTGGGTAAAAGTAATTTTCTTATATTGCTGTCTTTTTAAAGCGCCTCAGCAACTTAGTTTTAAAAGCAAAAGTAGGGTTTTGTGTTTTTGTTGTTGTTGTTTTGCTTTTTTTTGTCCCCATGCCATTGCTTAATTCAGAATGAGGGTGCTAAGCTAAACAGAACTGATGTAAATGTGTATTTGATTGGAAAACAGAAAAGAAACACCACGTTTGAGGCTTTCTCATCTCTGTGATGCCCACATGAAGTGGTTAATAGGATTCCTCAGCTTGGTTAAAACCCACAAGGTTTTAAAGACCCTGAGGCTGGCACACTCCTTGCCTCTGCCAGCTCCAATGCCTGTTGTAGTGCGCCACCTACTGGTTCTCTTTAGGATTGCTGCCAGCGTGGAAAAAAAGACTGTATGAGCGCGGGTGGGTTTAAAAATGAATGCGTGTGGTGGTTTGCGTTTGTCATTCCAGCTCTTGGGAGGCAGAGGCAGGTGGAGCTCCGGCTCAGCCAAGGCTATATGGTGAGACCCTGTCTCAATAGAAGGAAAACAGACTTAGAAAAAGATAGTATCTGCAGAGCTCAGCACTGTCTCTAGGTGACAGTGGTCGTCAGGTTAAAGACCCTGATCCCAGCTCTTAGCTTACTTCTTAGTTATCTGGGCGGCGCTTCGTGGTGCTGGAGTCATTCCTTCCTGACTTCAGTGTTAACTCAGCTCAGGTGTGAAGGCTTGAACACAGGGCCTTGACTCTGCAGAGACTTGCCCCTGGTCCTTCAGCAGAAGGCATACAGCCTAAAGCGCGTGGCGGGGGCAGTTGGTACAGAGCAACTCTTGCAGGTGTTCAGCAGGCCCCGGGGTGTGTTGGTGTGCTCCGTGTCTGCCTGTCCTTTCCATCGGCCTTCTCCATTGTCCTCCCTAAACCATACTCGATAACCGGAAACCCATCACACGGTGTGTGAAGCCAGCCCCTGCCCCCAACTCTGTTGTGAGCCCAGACTGCCCTAGAGCTTGTGGGATAGCCCCCTGCCTCATCTTCATCCCTGGTGCTGAGATGATGGTGTAGACTGCCACACCTGCCTTCCTCTTGACTGCTCCAGGCATCCATCTTGCTTTAGATACTGCTTCAGGGTTTGAAATCCAGCTGTGTGTGTGTGTGTGTGTGTGTGTGTGTGTGTGTGTGTGTATGCATTCCATACCACATACCCAGAAACATCTATTGAGGTGAATAGAGGGAAAAGGATCCTAAAACTTGAGAATGGATGCATGCCTGGTGTTGCCTTGGGCAGGGCCAGGCTGTAGTCTGAGGCCTCAAAGCCAGGTCTCTTTCCTTCCACGCCTGGGAATGTGGGAGCCAGGATAACTGCCATGTGGGATAGATTCTGAGGTGAACTCCACTTAAAAGCTGAGCTGTTGGTGGGAAGCTGCTGAACCACCCTGACCTTATCAAGGAAGTAGAAGGTGGCAGCCAGCTTTATGGTCCCTAGCAATACCAGGAGGTGCACCTTCTTCGGCCATGGACGGACCCTCCCTCCCCCCATGTGTATGTAGCTACTCAATTAGGACTCATTATTAGATGCCAAGACACAATAGGTTTCCTTTCTAGTGAGATCAGCCATTTTCTTTTTTCCAATGTCAGTTTGTTTTTGCTGGGATACCTAAGAGGGTACTGACACCGTGGACTTGAGCAGCCTGGTGTCACATTGCATTTAAAGATTGTTTTACATCCTAGGGTACAGGATAGTTCATTGTGAAGTCAGGGCCTTGTGTTGGTGGGTGAGATGTACTCGTTGCCATGAAGAATCAAAAGATGTTCTGTTGAAGTATGTGAAGATGTCTCGGTGTAAAGGCTGGAGTGCATGCACGTTAGACTGCAGTCATGGGTTTGTCTGGGCAGCATGTTCTCCGTGCTGAGGCAGAAACCACAAAGACTCCAGACCCTGGAACTGACTTTGAAGATTTTGTTTTTATTTGAAAGTAGGTGTCTGTGGGTGTGCACAGGTGAGCGCAGGTGCCCATGGAGGCCACGAGAGGGCGCTGGTTCCCTGCAGCTGCAGTTATAGGTGCCTGTGAGCCACCCGACTTGCTAGGAACCAAACTGTAGGCTGATGCAGGAGCTGTATGTATTCTCAGCCACTGAGCTGCCTCTGCAGGGTTTTTCAGTTTTTGAGGCAGGACCTTGCTGTAGCCCAGGCTGGCCTCAAACTTGTGGTAGTCCTGCTCCCTGGAGCTTGAGACTACAGCAGACACGCCACTTTCTCAGGAGAGATGTGCTCACTCTGCCACCTGAGCCACAGTGACCTGGAAGACGTGCCCTGAGTCAAGTTGCTAAGTGTGAGAACTAAGCGGGGATGGTCAGGGTCTGATGCAGTTGTGTGGCGTCTGTCTAACAGCTGTGCAGCAGATAGTGAGAGCAGAGCAGAGTAGGATGGCTCAAGGTGGGCGTTGCCTCCACGTTAGAGTGACAACAAGCTAAAATAGAAAGCATGTCCAGAAAACCTTGTGTGTGTGAGAGAGAGAGACCGAGAGCAGAGGTCAGCTTGTCCCTGTTCTGTGTGGTTCTGAGTTAACTGAGGTGGTCAGCCTTAACAACAGGCACACTCACCCACTGAGCTGTCTTATTGGCCCTTGTTTCTAATGAAAGGCGACAATTTTGAGGTGGGGGGTTCAAGACAGGGTTTCTCTGTGTAGCCCTGGCTTTCCTAGACTCACTTTGTAGACCAGGCTGGCCTTAAACTCACAGAGATTCCCCTGCCTCTGCCTCCTGGATTAAAGGCATGCACCACCATGCCCGGAGAAAGGTGACAATTTAAACTGATCTTCTCACAGAGCAGCGTGGTTTGATGGTTTCAGTCCATTTTGGTTTGGAAAAGAAGCATTTTCAGTATAGAATGGAGTGACCGTTCAGGTGCCAAGCAATGTGTGTATTACACCCCTACTTTACAAGGGTTTGAAGCAGGTGTCTATGGTGGCTGCTGCTGGGTTTCTTCTTCCCTCAGTTTTCTGTGATGGGCATGGGGACAGCTTCTGCAGAGCTCCCCGGCAACGCCACAGAAGGTTTCCTGCCAGAAGAGGCCGTACATACTGTCCCAGAAATGGCAGGGTTTGTGGAGTTGAGTTGGAAATGCCGCTTTTCATGTAGTCCTGCCTGTGCCTGTATGGGAAAGGGCATCTTTTGCAGGAGGTAGGGAACGATCCTAGCCATTCTGGAGGTGAGAGAAGGTGGA